TTTTTTTCTTGCAGACGTTTTGTACCCCTTCTAGGTACATTCTTTTTGCTAGATTTTCCCGAGAGGGGTAATGAAACATTGGAAAGAAAACAACCAAGCTCAGAGAACCCCAAGGACTCCACTCTTGCCTCTGCATTGCATCCAAAGTAGTTGAGCTCTTGCTTGATTATTAGCATACCCAGTGAGTTGTCTGGTTTTACTTCATCTAGTATTGAACAAGTTGATCTTCTTGCTGCCTGACGTGCTCTCAATAATTTTCTCCAGCATCATAGTTCTTCTTTCAACCTTTCTGATGATCAAGACCATGGCCTTGACAATACATATGTCCCTTAGCTAACTCAAGTTATTGTTTGCTAACCCTCTCATTCTACCACAATAGTTTTTTTTTTTTTTCTTTTTTTGGCAAAGGCTGTGATCTGGTGGTTTCTTTGACTTGCTTGGCAGAGATGATGACCTATCTATCAAAGCATTTTTAAGCTGTTTAGTCGCCTTCCTAGGAAACACAAAAGAGAATAACAAAAAGACTACCCTTGAGACTTTGTTGTATTGAAATACCACCTGATTCCATTTTTGTTTAGATAAAAGTATTTTATCCTTCTCCTTGTTCTGCTTGTGAAACACATCCTCCCCCTGCTTTAAATCCCTATATTGCTTTAAATATGATGTAGAATATGGTTTTAATTGGATTGTAATCCAGTTAATTGTAATTCTTGGATTATAATGTTATATGGATTTGTGCCACATCTAGTATTTGGATTCTCTTCCTTATAGAATCATACTTTAATCTGATCTCTACCTTTCAGTACTGATCTAATAGATTTACTGTTTGGGGGGGAGGGGTTAGTGAATTTGTACTGCACTAATCAAGTATGTTCATTTTAAAGTTCATTATTTAAAGTTCATTATAATTGTCTGTTCCTTATTTTCTGTTTTCTTATATATCTTGTATCTTTCTTTCCTTCTTCTTTTCATTTATATCCTTTCAAATATTAAATAATTTTGTAGGGGAAAAAATCCCTATATTGCCTGGGGAACAGTTGGATCAGAAAAGAAATCTAAAACTGAAATGACTTGCTGGAACCTGATAGACCCACAGCATCTGAAAAAAGAACTTGGATGGTTTGAACTTCAACTATTTTGACATAGTCAAAGGCCCCATCAATTTTGTATAAAGGAGATTATCCTTCTAATACTGTAGCACTCAAGGTCCTTCTGAGATTGTACCACCACAATTGCCTAGACTGCTACTTCTCAGCCAAGATTAAGAAGTATGCTGAATATGGAACTGCCCTTGTAGATTATTTGGCAAATTTCAGCTGATTCAAATCATGGCAGGAATGGTAGAGAGCTAAGACATTAGTCTTAAAAATCTATACTTGCTACTATGATATAGTTCACACATTACATTATACCATTGTTAACTTGAAGATGTGTGGACTTCAACTCCCAGAATTCCCCAGCCAGCCATGCTGG